GATTTTCTTTTGCCTCGGGTATGTTGAAGTAACAGCTGGAGGCTCCTGATCCAAACGGAGGCCGGAGTTAGCCAGCGGAGAAGCTTGCTTTGTTTCCCCTCTCTGGTTCCCAGGAGCTGCCGTCGTACAGGCTCTGCCCGCCGGGGTCTCTAGCAACGCAGCGCCACCTCTGCTGGCGTTTCCAGAAAGCCACAGTTGCTTAAACAGCTTAATTTTAGCTTGATTACTTTTCTAGAGCTGTGAGCAGGTAGGAGAGAGGTACTGACATCCTGGTGTCCTTTGTTTAAAGCAGGTCATTGTTAAACCGAGTTTTTTAATTATAAGGTGATTGCAGGCTATTGGACGTGCCTGTGGGACGCACAAAATCCTTTGGTTTTCCACCTGCTATGTTCCTAGCTGGTAGTTCTGCACTTTTTCATGCTTTTCAGGAAAATGTTTCAACACAATCCGTTCCATTCAACGTGAAAGGAAAGGCTAGTTAGTTGTTCCTGTCTGCTGTGCTGGATCTCATCCTGCGAGGGGCTGAGCAGCGTCCCCCGATCGCGAGGCGGCTGGAGGCGGGGGATGCTTTGCACGCGCGGCCGTGCACAGGCTCCCGGACGGATGGGGCCCTCCGCAGCGTGGAGCACCTTGCGTGTTTCTTTTTGCGTCCAGAGTACCAAGTGTTTTGTTTGGTGTGGTTTTTTCTTTTCTTTTTGTTTTGCGTAACTCTGGCATTGTTTCCTTTTTGTTCTGTTATCTTATCCGTAAGCCGGAATTTGTGAGTGTGTTTCTGCCACACGGAATTATGTTATGTGCAGCTTGCGAAGTATCATGTATTAGATTTTATGTTTTCAGGTTAAGTGCACAAAATTAGAAAGGGGAAAAAGAATGGTCGAACACTTAGCACAAAATAATTGAATAATGAAATTGTTGCCTATAATTAGTTTAAATGTAATTCAAATAGATCCAACTGCAGGAATTGTGGTGGTGAGTTATATAGCAAGGCTGTCAGGACAAGTGAAAATAGATGCTGCAAAAAAAGCCTTCACTGCCTCTCCTATATAATGTATTAAATTTATCTTAAAAGCAATTCTCTGATAAGTGCATACCTGTACTTAAAGAACAGAATCCTTGCCTTCTGCCTTTTACAGCCCATACCAGCACAGTGTACAAATTTCTTCCACAACTGTCCATAGCTCAGAGGATTCCTAAGTTAGCAAAGATTTTTTTTGAAAAATGCATTCAGCCTTGCACTGCTTCTGAATTTTATTTTCACTGAGTTAGAAAGCAAACATGCTACTTGCAGGATGGCTTTTTCTGTCAGAGTTTAAATAATACTAAAAAAAAAAAAAGTTCTAGATATGTGCTTATTTATGTGATTTTAGACGTTTATATCGACATTTGGATTCCTAACAAAAGAAATTGCGGGAAGGTCTATCACCTCAAGCAAAATGCAACTAATGAAATACAATTTCAAACACACAGAGCAAGCTGCTGCAAACATTGAGACATTGGAAGAAAAGAAAAAAAGAATGAATTTGCACAATTAAAAGTAACTGCAACTTAATTTTTCTCCCAAATTACGCTTTTGACTCTTGCCAAACAATTTTTAATCTGTTAACAAATGAAATGAAATATAACAAAGTTTGGTACTTTTTCAGTTTAAAATCAAAATGAGGAAATGGCTCTGTGTCCCCCCCAGTCCAGGCCATCCAAGTGGACTCCATGTAAACATAGATTTCTTCACTGCATACTAATGCAAAAAATATGCTTATGGTTAACTATTAACCTATGCATCCAAATAACACTAATGATTGCAATGTGCTGGAATAAATGCTCATGTTTCATGGGATGAGAACAGTCCTGTTCTCTTAAGCTTATCTAATCAAAGCCTAATCCTGCCTTTACAGCCTTTGTTAAATGCATTGGTATTTAATATGCATCAATAAATAAACTTTCAATTATTGTGCAGTGAGCATATCCAAAGATAGCATGACAATGTGAAACTACTGGTCTATCTAGCAATTATTCCAAATAAAGAATGTTGATAATGTGATTTCACCCTCCCCTTATAAGAGAGCATTCAGACTTCCTGACTCTTTTGCAGCCTCGTAACAAGGAAAATAAATTTGTCGTAGGCAAATAAAATTCGAAGAATTAAATTTTTACACTGTCTAAATAGATTCCCCCACTGTGATTAGAAGTAGAATTAAAGGATTTTTATTATTATTATTTAAAAAGCACATGATCTGTTCTAAATGAGGAAGGTCAATTGGTGGAATTTCTAAAGTATTTGTGAAAGGTCTTTTGAAAAACTCACTAAGTGGGTATTGTATGATATATGTTGTTATGCTCTGACCTGGTGTATTCTTTCATCTCTTCAGTCTTCCTTTTACAAGCCATTAAAGACAATGTGCCAAAAGCATATTCATTAACTGCAGTACAAGTACCAGCTCAATCAAATTATCTGCTTCATCCATGCCTGTTTTACCTTCTTTATCAAAACTTTCACTGCTGCTTAGTGCATCCTTTGCTAAGAGCCTTTCTCATGGTTTCCGTTCAGTAGTATCTAGTGAAGCATCGATCTACTGAAGTTCTTGTGCATCCCTGTAGCAGAAGCTTTCTGTGTTTTGGGAACCTTACAAGCCCAAAATCACAGAACACAGTGTGCTTTTTTTTTTTTTTTTTAATAGGGCTAATGAATTTGTATGTCTTTTAGGCAGTTCTGCATTACAGGAACATTAATATTCTTTCCTTTTAAAAAGGCTTGAAGTAAATCCCATGACACTAGAAGACTTTTAGATGCTGATTACTTGCAATTGGCTCTTGGTGATTTGCTCTTCAGATTGCCAGTTGAATTTAACAAAGTGTGATTTCTGAAAAGCTTCTGATAGTTTCTCATTAAAAATGCATTTTTTTTCATATGACCATGATTTCTATAATTTTACCCAATTTCATGATACATTTACCACCTTTGAAAGGCAGTGGTTGAAACATCAGAAACAATTAGCAAAAAAGATTATATTAATTCTAAATGAAAGAAATAAATCTGCCAAAAACTCAGCCTCAAAACTGCATTTGTCAAAAGCGCTTCTCTGAATTAACTGTTATAGGATAAGTGTATAATTGTTAACAGACATTTTTCTCAAGTTGTCAAAGAGTTTGAAAAATGAGAAAGAAAGAGCATGCTCAAAAAAAAAGCCATCCACAAGTAATCAGTGGCATGCTCACGTGGAATGAGATTTGCAGTACTTGTACTAATAAAATATAAGGCTCAATTAGAGATACTTTGCAGTTTTCAGGCTAAATTTAACTGATTTGGTGATTTGCAAATGCATGAATCCAAAAATAAAAATGAAGAATCCAAATGCAAATTAGTGCAACTGCAGTAAAATATAATTGCAAATGAATCTGTTGCTTTATTCATTTATTGTGTAATTACTGCAATCCTTCCCACCTTGTTTTCAGTATTTCTTAATCATTAAGTCGGAAGCATGACAGCAGTGCCAGCCCTGGCATGATTCTCTTTGACTAAAACCTTGTAAATTAACACAATTAGCACAGCATCATCCTGCTAATTAACTTCCAGTGTCTGGTGCAGTGGTTTTGCAAACAAGGAAGAGGGAGTCAGAAGGGAATAAACATGCCAGTCTGTTACCAAACTCCGCGCTGTGTTAGGCTTAGCTCAGTGAGGCTAAGCTGGCCATGTCAGATGCCAGAGTCAGGCAATGAAGAGCTAAAGGGGTTGGGGAGAAAAGCAGGAGGGGGTAGGAGCTGTCAAAATAGACTGCAGTAATTCAGAGGGGAGCTAGTGCCACAGATGCTTCATTTCGCCTAGGCCTCCTCCTTATCAGGGAATCTCTGCCAGAGGGCACAAGACTGTTTGCAAAAATCACTTTTGGTAATATGAGAGAGATTAAGGAGGTCTATTTGATACAGCTGTACAAAAATCAGCAATGTGTCTGCCATGCATAGGTAAGAGTTGGAGGGGGTTATCGCTGTGCTGGTAAATTGCTCTTACTGCGCGGGGTGGATTACGGAGGGAGGGGGGATAATTCACATCACATTATTTGCGAGATTAATTGCTTTAAAATGGCAATTGCATCCTATCGTTAATTTTTTTTTTGTTTGGTATCGATAGGGTTTTATGGCCAGCTGTGGAAGCCACAGAACTTTTAGGACTTGGCTTCGTTTCTTTTTTTCTTTATTCCCCCCCCCCCCCTTTTCTTTGTACCCTGGAGGCTGTGGAGGGGAGGGGGGAGAAAGAGAGAGCAAGCAAGGAGACCGCCAGACAAGTCATGCTTGTTTTTTTTTTCCAGAGCCTCAACAACAGAACTGAGAGGCAGAAAGGAGCCAGTTGTAATTCATACCGAGTTGTAGGCTTTGTGTGATGAAAGCGACGGAGCGCTGCCTGGGAGATTGCTTTGCTGCACTCCACGAAGCAGATTTGAAACTGTCGTGGACCACTTTAGATGAGAGTTGGATTATGGAATGACCTGCTATGTCTGTGTCATATTGTTCTGCGCAGGGTGCATTATACTGTGCTAACTAGGTGTTCAGTACCAAATAAGAGAGGTATCCTAGATGTGATCTGTCAGCTGTGTCTCATATTTTTATATTGGTTAAAATATAAAACTGAAACAGTGATGAGAGAGGACAGAGCAGTTGGATGCTGTGTATGCTAACAAGTAAATCTGCACTCCGAGTATTTAAAATGTAAGTCTTATTTCATCCCTTCAAGAAATTGGGCGTTAGCTCTAATTTTTTTAAACTAACACCCTCCCCCCACTGAATCGACAAAAAACATGGCTCTGTGTGTATGTGCCTATAATAAACAAACCTGACTGTTTATACTGCTTCATAAGGGCATCGCATTTCTTTCTTAAGGATTTGTAGTGTTAACTACCGTGTTTTAGGCCGCTGAAGAAGTTTACAGATACTACATTTGAGCACTCATTTAAAAGCGTCCGAAAAAAAGCTAAGATCACTGTTAACTTTGTTTTTTCCTGCAACCATAGGCTTGAAGATGCAGTGGACGCCGGAGCATGCCCAGTGGCCAGAACAGCACTTTGATATCACTTCAACCACCCGGTCTCCTGCCCACAAGGTAGAAGCCTACCGGGGGCATTTGCAGCGCACCTATCAATATGCCTGGGCCAACGACGACATCTCGGCTCTGACCGCCTCCAATCTTTTGAAAAAGTATGCAGAAAAATATTCCGGTATTTTAGAAGGCCCGGCTGAACGGCCCCTTCTTAGCAATTACTCTGAAGCTCCGTCAGGGTTGGTGAATGGCCGGAAGAATGAAAGCGAGCCCTGGCAGCCTTCACTGAATTCAGAGAGCGTGTATCCCATGAACTGTGTCCCAGACGTTATAACCGCCAGCAAAGCTGGCGTAAGTGCAGCCCTCCCTCCCGCAGACGTCTCTGCCAGTATAGGGAGTTCACCTGGGGTGGCCAGTAACCTGACAGAACCCAGTTATTCTAGCAGCACCTGTGGAAGTCATACAGTTCCCAGTCTTCATTCAGGGCTCCCATCTCAGGAATATGCCACAGGATACAACGGATCTTACTTGCATACCAGTTACAGCGGCCAGCCAGCACCTGCACTTCCTTCCCCTCATCCATCCCCCTTGCATAGCTCTGGGCTTTTACAGCCCCCGCCACCACCGCCGCCACCACCAGCCCTCGTCCCAGGCTACAATGGGACTTCTAACCTCTCCAGTTACAGCTACCCTTCTGCCAGTTATCCTCCTCAAACTGCTGTTGGCCCTGGGTACAGCCCTGGGGGGGCACCACCTCCCTCCGCGTACCTGCCTTCAGGAATCCCCGCTCCTACTCCTCTGCCCCCAACTACTGTACCCAGCTACTCCTACCAGGGTCATGGTCTGACGCCCATTGCACCATCCGCCCTGACAAACAGTTCAGCCAGCTCTCTCAAAAGGAAAGCTTTTTACATGGCAGGGCAAGGAGAAATGGACTCCAGTTATGGAAATTACAGCTATGGCCAACAGAGATCTACACAGAGTCCCATGTATCGAATGCCCGACAACAGCATTTCAAATGCAAACAGGGGGAATGGTTTTGACAGAAGTGCTGAAACATCATCCTTAGCATTTAAGCCAACAAAGCAGCTAATGTCCTCTGAACAGCAAAGGAAATTCAGCAGCCAGTCCGGTAGGGCTCTAACACCCCCATCCTATAGTACTGCTAAAAACTCACTGGGTTCGAGATCAAGTGACTCATTTGGGAAGTATACCTCCCCAGTAATGAATGAGCATGGTGATGAGCACAGGCAGCTCCTTCCTCACCCAATGCAAGGCCCGGGACTTCGTGCAGCTACCTCATCCAACCACTCTGTGGACGAGCAACTGAAGAATACTGACACGCACCTCATTGACCTTGTTACCAATGAGATTATCAACCAAGGACCTCCCGTGGACTGGAATGACATCGCTGGCCTAGATCTAGTAAAGGCCGTCATTAAAGAGGAGGTTTTATGGCCAGTATTGAGGTCAGATGCATTCAATGGACTGACTGCTCTACCTCGGAGCATCCTTTTATTTGGACCTCGGGGAACAGGCAAAACATTAATGGGCAGATGTATAGCTAGTCAGCTAGGAGCCACGTTTTTCAAAATCACTGGCTCTGGCCTTGTCACAAAGTGGCTAGGGGAAGGAGAAAAAATTGTCCATGCTTCCTTCCTTGTGGCAAGGTGTCGCCAACCCTCGGTGATTTTTGTTAGTGACATTGATATGCTTCTTTCTTCCCAAGTGAGTGAAGAACACAGTCCAGTAAGTCGGATGAGAACCGAGTTCCTTATGCAGCTGGACACTGTACTGACTTCTGCTGAGGACCAAATAGTAGTAATTTGCGCCACAAGTAAACCAGAAGAAATTGATGAATCTCTTCGAAGGTACTTCATGAAACGACTTTTAATCCCACTTCCTGACAGCACAGCGAGGCACCAGATAATAGTACAACTGCTCTCACAGCACAATTACTGTCTCAATGACAAGGAGGTTGCACTGCTTGTCCAGCGCACAGAAGGCTTTTCTGGACTAGATGTGGCTCACTTGTGTCAGGAAGCAGTGGTGGGTCCACTCCATGCCATGCCAGCCACAGACCTTTCAGCCATTATGCCCAGCCAGTTGAGGCCAGTTACATATCAAGACTTTGAAAATGCTTTCTGCAAGATACAGCCTAGCATATCTCAAAAAGAGCTTGATACATATGTTGAATGGAACAAAATGTTTGGTTGCAGTCAGTGATACTACTTTTAAAAAAAATGTTATGAATGTTGGCACACACAGAACCTGCTACATAGGGTAGAGAACCCTTTTCAGTAGTGTTAAAATTGCAAAGGGTACTGGGAAGACTACGATTTACCTTGCCTCTAAAGAGTCAGGGTAGACTTGAAGGAAAAGTGCATCAAACAAGAGCTGCTGATCTGAAAAAGCCACACATGACAGAAAGCATATGTTGATGCTCAGTTCTGTTCAAGCTAGACAATACTCACCAAGGAGCAAGGTGCAAGTGGGTTGATTTCAGAAGGACATGAACCCTGTGTGTTGATTCCATTCTGCTGTTCTTGAGATTTAGTTGCTGTCAAGTGCCTGAAGTGGTGCTTTATTTTTTGTTTGCCTCACAATTACATTGGTGGCATGTGCTAATATAAAGAGCTTTAACTTCAAACATTATTGGACTAAAGAGATGAACGGTTGTGTTGCGACAGAGAACCAGATTTTTGCTATTCTAAGAGCAACAGTATTCCTCAATCCTGTCTGTTCTGCAGTGTTAAACTAAGAACAGGTAAAACAGGGTAATGGTAATCTGGACCTTAATTTCTGCAGTTCATTTCTTTTAATGTTCTGTCTGCAAAAACTCAGGAAAGTGATTGTGATTTGTACAGTACCTCAAAGGAATGTGTTGAAAGCACTATGTACTGCTGAGAGTTATAGGCTAGGCTTCAATGTTACTTTATATTAAATATGTATGTTTACCTCAACAATTGGAGAATGGCAAGGAAAATTACTTTGAATGTATCCAGGAAAAAACTAAAGTGTGATATGACTGAAGCTTTACAGTTTTTAAAAACAGTGCAAAAGGATTTCCCTGTGTTAAGGAACAGTTCTTTTGCCAATTTGTCAGATCAAACCAGAGCAAAATGATTTTTCTTGTTGGCAAACTGTAAGAGTTTTCAGCATATTGCTCCTTGATAACTATGTGATACAGTCTTTAGAAGGTGCATAGATGAAAAAAGAGCCACTTAATCGGTTTACGTTAGCATCTGAAACAGTCAAACGTAAGATTCGGTAGGACTCCGGGAGGCAAATTACCTCAAACTACGACTGCTGGCCCTTATTATGCGGCTCTAGTTGTAGTTGTGAGGTTATTTTGGTGAAGCTGTAGGGAACGGAATCAGTGTAGGTCACTGGCAGAGCTGTGGGTTGCAGAGCTGCTTAGAGCAACGCAGTAGACTGTGACCGAACACACAGTACAAACAACAAAGCAAAACTGAACCCTCAAAACACATTTATTTCCCTTCCCAAACTGTAAAGTTGAGTTTTTATTGTGTATGTACGGCCCCATTGTCCTTAATGCAGTCTTCATTTAGCATCCATTAGAAATCTTCCAGGCTGGAGCGTGCCCACCATTATTTCTACCTCAGTTTTGTTACGTTTCTCTTGGAAAGCAAAGGAAGGAATAGGGCAAAAACCAAAACCGACGCAAAAGTCAGATTACGTTAGGAATGCGAACCTGCTAAACAAGTTTCAGAGAGCTGCTGGCTTTTTTCCCCCCTTGAAGTCAAGCTTTGCTGTGTGTTAGCACTCTTTACCCCACTTTTTCCTCCCCCCGGAGGAAGAGAGAGAGCATGCACGGTCTGGTGTCTTCCTTCTGGAAAGACTAGCTGGCATGTGTGGCATTTTGCTCGGTTCTCCCCCCGCCCCGGCTTTCCTTTTATCCTTTAATGCTTTATGTACAACTCTTTTGGTGACAGCTGACTGATGTTGGGTAATGTCTCTGAGCAGGAGCAGTGTATGTTGCAGCTGCCCAGAGCCTCTGCCATCACATGAGCAAAACAGCCTTGGCTTTTTTTGAATGTATTTTTTTTTTTTGGCTTGTTTACTTTAAAGAGACAGTAACAAAACTGTTGCCAAGCACTGGCGTTTAGTGTTTCTGTGAAGTAACGTACATTCAAAACCATTAAATAAATGCACTGAAAAGGCCCAAGAAGAGAGACAGCGATCTGTCACTAGATCATATTCATCTTCTCAAAAATTGTACAGAACTCATCTGTTGCGTTTAATCAATGGAGACGTTTAGCGTTCAGAAAGCTAAAGAGGGATTATTCAAAAAACAGAGCAAATAAACCAAAATCTAATTTAAGGTGGATTCCTGGCAAACATTTTGTCTATCTAAAACTTTGTTTTAAGCATGAAAGTATCATTTTAAAAACAGTGCCTTTCATTCAGGATATAGAAAGTAAGACTTCAGTACATCACCTGCTTTTTTTTTTTTTTTTTTTTCCTTCTTCTTCTCTCTTTCACACAGCAACTACAGCCTGCAGTTCTTGCTAGGAGCCAGTCTTTCTGCCTCCCCAAACCTCCACAGGCTGCTTCTTCACCCCAGTCATTCCACCGTCCTCATCGTTGGGAAATCCTGACGTCCCCGTTAGCTTTAGGTTCACATTGATCACACTGGCAAGTTTTCTATTGCAGTTTGCTGACCCAATTTTTGTCTTAGACATTGCCTTTCATATCTGCCGTTGAGCTGTGCTCATTTGAAGGGCTCAGGCAAGTTCTAATAAACCAGCTCTTGTTTAGACCACTTCTGAGAAAACCATACTCCTAACCGATTTTTTGCAGCTAGTTAAAATGAGTGCTACATGCTAGTGTTTTTTGTTTTTTCTCTCTTTTTATCCCATAGCAAAACCAAAAGCAAAAGAAATTGTAGATGGTCGCTTTGGCTTCCAGATTTAAATCATTCTCTTTAAAAAGTCACTCTGGGAAATGGATTTTTCAAACGTTAACCAATGCGACAAGCAGGCGGAAATCGAAATGGTGTGAAAATGCATCTTCTACACACACTTGCATTCCAGGGGCTTGGTTCAGCTTTGGGGACAGCAGAGGCTGAAAACTTCACCCCTGCCATGGCAGCTGCAGACAGAGGAAGACAGAGCCGGATTGCTGCCTAAATCTTTCCTTGCTAGCAACCATCGCTGGAGGGGATGTGAAAGAGCGTCTGGGGCAAGAGCTTGGACAGGTAGTGTTCCCTCGAGAGGGCACGGCACCTCTCCAGGCATTTCTGGCCACCTTAACTCCCTCAGTAGAATTTCGCCCAATTTGGGGAGCTGAGCTGCCTGTACCCCCTGTCCAGTCCTGTCCTTACTGCTTTCCTCTCTCCCCACCCCAGTCGGCCCCTGTTTCTCCCTAGCTGAGCGTGGCTCTGTGGGCTGAGCACTGCTGAGCCCTCGCTGCTCCCAGCAGGCTTCATGCCAGGAGGGTCCCAGCAGGAGGCAAGCACCTTCCAGAAGCTGAGGTCCCTAGAGCTTGAGTGGGTCCCAAAGATTACGATTCTCTTTTGTGAAGGGAGAAAAAATATATTCTAATAGTGTCCTCAGAATGAAATATTTGCTAGTCCTTGAAGTTTCCACGGTAGGAAGGTGTTTGCTGTTTCTTGCAATTGGGCACAGCTGGGGGCTGCCGCTGCAGAAACGCACCGGCCGTCAGCGGCAGGTTCCCAGGCAGCGCTGCAGCCTTGGCTTTTAAGAACCTGAAATGGTTAATGGTCAGCTGGTGTGTCAGCCTATCTGTAGTAGTAGTGCTTTACGCAGTATTTTTTAAATATGGATACCATTCTACATTAGCTCATGTTCTTCCTTGTAGCTTTGTTACAATTCCTGCGGCAACAAAAAAATAAATGGTAGGAATATTTCTACAAGCTGAAGGATCAATATCAATTCAAGGAGGAGTTCATGATGACCTTATGTGAGACAGAAATGGAAATGCTCTATACTTTTGGCATGTTTCTCTCCAAAATATTTAGAACGTTAGTGACAATATAGAAAAGTTTGCTGACTGAGCTGATCAATGGAATGTGAAAGCAGTTTACTTTAAGGCTATTTACTTTCACACGGCATATTTATCTATTAGTCAGTTTGTATTCTACTCAAATGCAGATAGATGGGCAAAATGTTTTCTTGAGCATTACAAACCTACCAAGGGGAAAATAAACCATCTGACTAAAATACATAGGCCAAACACCATCTGGGTGTCTGTATCAGCTCTTCGGAGGCTATGCTCTGTAAAAACGGTGCAAGGTCATGTTTGGGGGGGTTTTCCTAGGATTTTTCGTTAGTTTGACATCCAGTCAGAAAGATCCAAACTAATTCCTCCATCAGGATGTTAATACATTGAATGCAAATTTGGGGATCCAGCTGGGGTTTTCATTATCTGCAGATATGTACAACTTCAGGCAAACAGTTGTTCTGCATTTTTCTCTAAGCGCTCTATCATGAGTGAGTACATTACTTAGATTTGAAGGATACGCTTTGTCACAAAACAAGGCCACCAAAAGTTCTAGGGCCTCGTACCCTTTCACTTACACCAATCTCAAGTTGGTATAACCCTGTTGACTTAAAGGAATTACTCCTGATTTCTGCCCTTGTTAGAAAAGTCATCCCTCCAATGTATAATAATCCCTGTCTGTTGGTTTTCATCATCGGCTCTGGAAGCTAACCTTGTCCTCGCAGCACTAACTCCTTTCCATCTTGTATGTGTGCATGTGTGTATATAATATTTATATGTGCATACACACCACGTCCAAACAATGGCTTTGT